GTATTTTCAAATCTGTGTTAGAACCAAGTGGATGCTCTAATGTACAACTATGTGGCAGCAAGACTTACTCACTAGTGTAACTTACTAGTGTTCAGAACTAAGCATTTTATTGAATTAGGGTCTGAGAGAAATTTTGCCTTTTTTTTTTTCTTCAGTTAAATTATTATGATAGCTTCAATAATAAACACACACTTGTAACAGCACTAGCCTTGCTAGCTTTCAGACTTTTATTTCAAAAATATAATAGTGCTGTGCAGCAGTTTCATGCATGTCCAGATGATCAAAACCCCTTTTAGTGTATTTGCAATTTTTTTTTTTAAAGGAGCTTGAATTTAGCACAGTTCCATTAAATGCAATTGCCTGCAAACGCCACACGGCTTTCTGAGCAGTCTTGAAATTTCTACCACAGAAAACAAACAAAACCACCAAACCAACCCTCCTCCTTTTTACCTCTGAAGTAGGCCTCTGATCTTGTCACCTACTCCAACCACCATAACTTCTTTCCCTGCATTTGAGAGGTTGGTAATCTCATTCTTCAAGGTTTTAGCAATAGACGTGTGGATAGCACCACACAGACCTCGGTCAGAGGACACACCAATAAGGAGGTGCTTCTTCTTGTCCTCAGGTGCCTTTATTTCTGCCTTCTCATAGAGAGCTTAAAAAAAAAAAAAAGGGTAAGTTATTCAAGGGTGCCAGGAAGCAAATAGGTCATATCAAAATACCTCTGACTTATTCTAACTAAAATAATTTCTAAAGGGCTTCCAAATCACAGCCAGATGAATTTGATCTCCCCCACAATCATTCAAGTTTGCACGTTATCTGACCAGAGGTGACAAAGAAACAATTCAAAGCCAGCCACATCTCTGCATTGAATATGACACAATCAGTGTCATTAATTAAGTTCACTCTGTGAGTCCACTGTCTCAGGAGCACGTGCAGCCCAAGAGTTCACAAGGAGGTTTGGCAGTAGGGAGATGCTGCAGAGATAGGACACAATTCCACTAACAGATAGAAGCAGGCCAGAAATTGTGAGTTGTGGTGCTTTAATGACTAACAAAAACAACTGTGCAACCACATAAAGTTAAAAAAGTAATCAGAAATCATAACGAATTTCACATTAGAACTCTTAAAAATAGCTATCCATAAATTACTTACAAGGAATACTCAAGGTGACAGTGGCCTAGAGATACAAATTCTTTTGGCAAAAATCTATCAAAAGGTTAAAAAAGTCTAGGCATTTTATCACCACCGTGAAAGCCTTCCTCTTCTGTCCCCACATCACACAGCGTGAGAGCCTTCTCTCACCCAGTGCTCCTGTTCCATAGACTCTAGCAGGCTTCAGCTCCCTCTCAGCTCTTGCATATTTTGCTGCAGAAACCATCTTCATGGACTTCGTAATTTTCTGAATGTTCTTGATGGACTTCAAACGCCTGGTAACTACAAGGTTAATAGTTGAAGGTCATGGGCTGTACTGGGCATAATGACATCAAAAACAAGGAATAAAGCGCTAGCAACAGCCATCCAAAAATATCTTGCCAAGTTCCTCAAAGAAGAAAAAAAAGTAAATAAACAAACAATGCACAAATAAACTTCATAAAAGACACGCCCTTACTATTTACAGTGAGAAAGCAGCAAGACTAGTAATCTGGCTAACCAAATGCATCCTTACAATAGGTCTGCTTTTCCCCCAGACATAACATTTATTTAATATTTAGCCCAACGTAAGATCTATTTACTATTCTCTGTCCTTCCACTTCTACCCATTCCACAAATATACCATTTGAGGTATACCGTCGCCTTTTCCCAGACAACAAGGGGGGAAAAAAAGAGGACCCAATACTATAATGAGACAGAAGATACTTCCTCCTCTTTTTAGATTGTGGCAAAATGAGATTCATAAAAATGCTGATGTAAAAAGAAAACAAAACAGGTGTCCTATAGAGAAGTGCAATTCCAAGGCAATATCCCTGTATAAGAACCTATGAGGAATGGCTTAAAGAAGCATCATCAAAGTGAAACGATTCAGTTAACCTTTTTTCCCCCCCAGTGTTGGATAAACGCACAGGGAAATAAACAGAAACTAAGTTATTCTTAAAAGTGAGCAAAAATCTGGTTTAGCACATATGATGGAGTTATTTTTAAAATATGTTTGAGTAAAACTATATTGGTTTGCTGAAATGACATCTAAATCAGTGCTAAAACCATTTTAAGCAATGCCTTTTCTGAAAGACACTTGTTTAATATAAGTAGTGCTGGAGGCTCACATATCAATATTATGGTGTATCACAATTAGTTTATCCAACAGAGGCTAACTGAAATTATATTCTAACATAAGGTTTTCCTGCAACACTTTCCCTCTCTCAAAAGCAAACAAAACCAGTACTTACTGTCTTTTAGAGTTGCCATATTCCTGACTTGGCCCCTGAAAGTGAATGCAGGAGAAATTACGATAGTTCAGTAGTTCTCCAGCAAACCAACACCTAGCAAGGGCAGGTCATAGAATCATTAAGGTTGGAAAAGACCTCTAAGATCATCGAGTCCAACCGTCGACCCAACACCACCATGCCCACTAAACCATGTCCCTAAGCGCCTCATCTACACGTCTTTTAAATACCTCCAGGGATGGTGACTCAAAAGGTCCTTCAGAGGGATGAGAATTTTACAATTGCTGTTTCTGAAAAAGCATCTGTAGTAGGGACAAGCCACCCTAAACCATGCCTTGTATGCATACCTCCCATCCTTCCCCCGATCTCCTACATCATTTAATACATCATCCACTGCCTTGGATAATGGCACGATGTAAACGAGGGCCGGACAGCACGGCTTCAGAAGGGTACAACTTCCAAAAAATGTAACCGTGTTTTCAAAACGATTAAAACGAAGCAGAGGAGGCTGCGCCACGTCCCGACAAGAGCGGAGCCTCCTCGCACCGCCTGCCACCCCCGAAGCTGTCCGT